CGGGCTGGCGAAGCTGCTGCAGCCGACGCAGGCCATGGCGAACGGCAACAAGGGCAGCCAGCTGTACAAGGCACCTGAGGTGGCGCAGGGCCGGTGGTATACCACCCAGGCGGACATGTGGTCTCTAGGAGTCGTTCTGTACGCTTTGCTAAGTGCCAGGTTCCCGCCGAGGGATGCGCAGGGGATGGTGGCTTGGGAAGCGGTTTCGGATCAGAGGTTGTTGTTTAAAGGGGGGAGCTGGAAGGAGGTGAGTGGTGAGGCGAAGGCGCTGGTGGGTGTGCTGCTGTCGTGGGATCCGAAGCTGAGGCCGAATTGTGGCGAGGTGTTTAACGACCCGTGGCTGGTGCAGCACTGCAGATGAGAAGGGAGAGGAGCGCGGATTGTGGCCGGATTGTGGGGAGATTGGGGAGATTGGGGAGATTGGGGAGATTGGGGGGAGTGGGAAGGAGCAGCGGCCGGATTGTGGCGAGGTGTTTGTTTTACACACCCGTGGCAGGTGCGGAACTCCGTGATTGAAGAAGAGTTTTGAGACGTCTCAAAACTCCACTGCATGTGCGGGGGGAGAGTGATGCGGCAATGTAGAGGAGAGAATGATGCAATAGGTGTAGAGGGTAGATGGCAGGCAGGTGCTTCACCCCATTTGCCTGCAGTGTCGTCTTGTCTCTCTTTCCTTCTCCCTCTTAACGTTTAACAATCTGTACTGTGGTGAGTGCTGCAAACAGCACTTGCCTTGCTTGCTTTTTGCCTGATCTTTTTATTTATTTTTCAAGTGCACAGCATTAACAAGTATGCTAGTAGTGCCACACAAAGGACCCCACTTGAATCACAAAATACAGTGAATAAATCCACCATGGGTGATGGTCTGGATTGAGAGCAGGCCAGTGTTCACTGCATGCAGCCTGGTTGGGGAAGAGAAGAAGAGACAGCTGGAGTGGAGGCAGCTGGAGTGGGGGGGCTGAGTCAGGAAAGAGACAGGTCACAGGAGGAGTGTGCATTGCATTGCCAGTACACTGCAGAATTCTTGTGTGGGGACTGGGCTGCTAGCTAGCTGGACTGGGAGGCTGCTAGCTTTGCCGAAGGTCTGCTTATGTGCTGCACAACGGTAGAGGCTGGGAGCAGACAGGGAGGACATGGAGGAACAGATGGAGCCGCCGTAGGGTGCAGCAGTCAGAGGGTTGCGGGGTGGGGTCAGCAACATTGAGAGTTCTCAAAAACCCGCTTGGAGCAGACGAGAGGGACATGGAGAATTAGATGGAGCCGCAGAGTGCAGCTGGCAGAGGGCTGCAGGGTGGGGTCAGCAACATTGAGAATTCTAAAATACCCGCTTGGAGCAGACGGGGAGGACATGGAGAACCAGATGGAGCCGCAGAGTGCAGCAGGCAGAGGGCTGGGGGGGCGCTGGGGCCGGCAATTTTATGGCACTTTTTAGTCGCAGACGGAAGCAGCCAGCAAGAAGCAGCATGAGAGGATCAGGCTGGCTCTGTGACGAGACTCCAGAGCCCCGTGAAGCTTTGCCTTGAGAATCGATTGCCTTGCGAAGGTATTGGGAGTTGAGAGCCTTAAGAGAAGCAGCAGCGGTGGTTCAGGCAGGCTCCGTGACGAGACGAGACACCAACCAGAGCCATGTCTATTTTGTGTCTATTTTATGTCTATTTTGTGTCTATTTTGTGTCTATTTTATGTCTATTTTTTAGGAGCCTTCAGAATCCGAGCGCCAACTTGAGAATCATTTGAGCTCCATGACGATAATTCAGAGCCTTGTGAAGCTGCACTTGAGCATCAGGTGTGGGGAGTGGGGAGTGGCGGGCAGGGAGTGGGGGAGTAGGGAAAAGAAGTGGGAAAAATTCTTGTTTTGGGGGACTCGGAAAAAGCTTAGAGAAGGCGGAGAGAAAGTGGAGAGCGCGGAGAGAGAGGTGGAGAGAGCGTGGACAGACGTACACTTGCCTCTTCAAATACTCCTCTTTGAGTTCTCGCTAGTTAATTTGTCAAGCTTTCGCCCCGAGAGCTCTGAGAAGCTCCGCCTGAGACTCGGGGCAGAAGGCAGAAGCGTTGCAGCGAGCGCAGGGCAGGCAGAAGCGTTGCAGCGAGCACAGGGCAGGCAGAAGCGCTGCGAGAAGAAGAAGCTGCAGGCAGAGGGGAGAGAGGAGAGAGAGGAGGGAGAGGAGAGAGAGGAGGGAGAGGAAAGAGAGGAGAGAGAGGAGGAGAAAGGGGACAGAGGAGGCAGAGTTTCTCTTACCTCTTTGAATACCCGCTCCTTTATTCGTCAAGCTTTCGTGCCAAGCGCTTTGAGCAGCTCTGCCTGAGCCTCAGGGCAGAAGGCAGAAGCGTTGCGGCGAGCACAGGGCAGGCAGAAGCGGTGCGAGAAGAAGAAGCTGCAGGCAGGCGAGCAGCAGACGGGGGCGCGGCAGAGAGAGCAGGCAGATCCGAAGAAGAGCGGCCGGCTCGAACGGGACGAGCCGGACTCGAATGGATCCCGACAGATGTAGCCATCCTCGAGGAACCTGGTGGGGTTATCATCGATGCATTTCACCAAGAACGGAATCACCAAGCCAGAAACGGAGGCTGGGATTCAGGACAGGATCCCGGCAGATGTAGCCGTTCTCGAGAAACCTGATGGGGTTATCATGAACGAATATTACCAGGGACGGAATTTACCAAGCCAGAACCGGAGGTCAGAATTCAGGACAGGATCCCGGCAGATGTAGCCATCCTCGAGGAACCTGATGGGGTTATCATGAACGAATATCACCAGGATGGACATTGCGCCAGAGGCAGAGTCAGGATGTAAGACCACAGCAAAGACCCAGCCGCACTCGAGGAACCTGACGTCACGAGGAACGGGCATCTCTCACACAGGGATTATCAAGCCAGGAACGGAGGTCAGGATTCAGGATAGGAAACAGACAAATGTAGCCAGACTCGAATGGATCCCAGAAGATGTAGCCGTCCTCGAGAAACCTGGTGGGGTGGTAACAGCCGGAAACGGAGGTTACGGTAATATTCAGGACAGGAACCAGGCAGGGAGGGACACATTTCAAACCAAGGTGACTTTTGAGTCAACTCAAAAGTCACTTCAGGACAGGAACCAGACAGGGAGGGACATCTCAAACCCAGAGTCAGGATACAATACCGGCACAAACATCGAGAGCCGCACTAGAATGGATCCCGGCAAATGTATCCGTCCTCGAGGAACCTGGTGGGGTTAAGAGCAATGAGTATCACCAAGAACGGAGATGACGAGGACGCGGTGGGAAGCACCTACGCGATCTGCGGCGCGAATGGCGGCCGACGGCCCATATAGTCGTAACGCGCTTCGAGTTTGCACAGCGTGCATGTGAAGATGGTTTCGCGGGATTTTTCGACGGTCACCCGGTCCACATCGGAAGATTCCATGGTCGCAGGAAGAAACGGGACGAAGAGACGGAACGAAAACCAAACGGAGAAAACACAAGCAGCTTGGAATGACCAAACGTTCACATCGAGATATTTCAACTGGGTTTCGCGAGCATCGCTTTCTCCAAATCCCATTCTACCACGACCAAGCTGATCGCCATGGCGTCATTCCTCCGTCTCCAACGGTCGCGCGGGTCTCCAGTGTTTCCCGTTCCATGCATATCTTGGGACTGAAAAAAAGGCAGAATCTAGGCTCACTGTACGCGTTTCCAGCAGAATCGGTAAAACTCACCACGAAATAGCATGATTTGCCCATGTGTAAAGTCTGTTTCGGAACTCAGCTCTTGTGCAGGAGCATTTCATGCATATACGCAGCTCCGCTATCGCTACTAGAATAGGAAAATCGTTTCACTAATTTCACTAGTTTCTGTAAGCTGGCAACAGAAATGAGCCCCTTTGCCACGCTGGAAGTCAAGCCGTTCATCAAAATTCTATTCACGCTACCTGGGGCAGGGATGACGCTATGATTGGCTAGTTCTCTGTTGACTGTCTCGTCAGCAAGGTGAGTACTTTCATTTCTGTCCAATTCCATCGTAACCGTACATAAGAGCACCGAACCGTGACAACTCACAATCACAGAAGACCCGCAAGTTCTGGTGCAACTCCGCGCTGTACAAACCGAGCCGTGACGTTACCCCGTTGAATAACCACGGCAGCAGCCACGGCAAAAGGCCAAGCAGCAACGCCGAACTGGCTCGTCATGGGCCACGGGCAGAACGAAAGCAAAGAACTCCTCTGAAGTCGTGCCGCGTCTCTTGTTTCATTTCAAATTCCGCCAACCCTCTCTGCTTGCGCCAACGCCCGTCTCACACTTGTCACTCACCCTCTTGCTCCACATTTTCTCAGGAAAGTTGGAAACCGACGCTAGGTTTCCACTCCCAAACGGCTTGGAGTTCTTTCCGGTTCCGATTGACGAAACTCGTCTCGTCTTCGCCGACGTGGATTCCATATCGCGCTCCTCTTGCTCTCATCATCCCTGATGTTCTTTCTCAAGCCTGGTCTCAACTCGAAATAGCTTTCCCATAGATTCTTTCCTGCCTTGCAGAAACGAACACCGGAGCTCTGCTTTCGTCATTGCTTCGCAGCGCATTTCTTGGTCTTGAAGCTGTTCAGCCAGAACAGACTATCGCGAGTCCATCCGTAGCGTTGTAATAGATTCGACGGAGAAAACAAGGGGGGTAGAATTTTACTATAATTGTTTCGCAATAGATGTAATATCGAACGCCTCTAGGCTTCTTCATCATGGCGTCACCTGGAGCGATTATCATTACTAGAGCTCTTCTGCTCTCCACCGCACTCCTTTCCGCGATTACCACTGGCGATACTACTATTACCAGCACCGTTGGTCGTTCGAATTCGATACCTAGTACCAGCTACGTTGAGAGGTTTTCAAAGGCCTTCTCTAGACGTTTCCCTTACGGAGCCAGCAGCAGCGGAACACCTGATCTCCCTCTCGGTTCGTCACCCATCCCGACAGCTTTAGTAACTGCCACCGCTGCACGAACACCTCCTAAATCAAATAAAATCGGATCTCGTCTTCCGCGCCGCATGGTTGGCGCTCGAATCAGGATCACAGACAACCCGCAAGCAGAAAAACCTCAAGATATCATCAAGAAACGCCCCGCTTCAGCTAGCAAAGACGAGCCGCCATCTTCCAAGTCAACTTTGCCTCGACCTACTCCGCCTGCACCGCTTCCGCCACCGATGACGCTGTTGGGAGGCCTGCGCAGGGGTTACGTGCCTGTTAGGAGGCGGAATCCCAGCGGCGGTCTCCAATCGAGTGGTCAGATTAGCCCGAGTGACGGCACCCGCCGCCGTCAACTGCGCGGTCGTGACAGGCAGGCTGAGGAGGAGGATGGCGAGGCTGGCATGACCGAAGCTGGCATGACCGAAGCTGGAGTGACCGAAGCTGGAGTGACCGAGGCTGGGAAATCCAAAACAAGCCCCGAGCTGTACTATAACGGAGGGGCTGTTATTGTGGATCCGGTCGTCTACCTCATCTACTACGGCACGTGGCCTGAGAATTCCGGAGCTGCCGTTATCGAGAATTTCGTGCAGTCACTGGGAGGGAACGCGAGCAGGCAGGGGGGGCCGAGGGGTGAGAGCAGCGTGAGCGACTGGTGGGCGATCACCACGCATTACTTCATGACACGGGCTGACCGCAAGCTGGCATACGTCACTCCTAAGGTGGGTGACTTGTCAAAGTGTGAAGCGTACATCACACCTACCCTCTTCCCCACCTCCCTTCCCCCCTTTTCTCCCCTCCTCCCCCCTTTACTTTCCCTCAACTCCGAGCATGTCTTTGTGCCCTTCCCACATGCCAGCTGCACCATGCGTCCTCCTCGACACCCGCAATCCCTTCCTAGATCGTCTCGACTTCATCCCCTCCATCCATACTCGTCCTTCCGGGCATCCATCTTGTTTCCTCCCTCCAAACCACTTTGCAGGTTCGGTTTGGCGGCTCGGTAGTGGACCGGGGCTCCATCGGCCATTCCTTCTCCGACACCGAGATTGCCAGGAGTGAGTTATCCTGGTCCGTGCATCTCTTGTTTTTCGACACCTTGCGAGCCCTTGCATCTCTTTTCAAGGCCCCTCAAAACTAGGCCCCTCAAAACTAGGCTCCATCTGCCATTCTTTCTCCGACGCCGAGATTGCATGAAGTGAGTGGTTTGGGAGCCCTTGCAACTTGCCTTGCAGTTGTCGATCGCAACGTGGACAAGGCCAACAGATTGCCGTCCGATCCAAACGGGATCCACATCGTGATCACGCGTGTCCCCTCAGGTCTCCGAGTGCCTTGCCTTCAGTCCTCCCCTGGTCGCTCTCCTTCCCCTTCCCCACCTCGCCCAACGTCCAGTTGTCAATAGCAACGTGGGCAAGGACAACAGATTGCCACGTGGGCAAGGACAACAGATTGCCGTCCGATCCAAGAGGGATCGACATCGTGATCACAAGTGCTGGCGTTCCCTCCACTCCACGTGCCTCCATCTCAACCCCTTCAGCCCGCCCTCCTCGATGTCCTCTTCTTGCCCTTTCCCCGAAGAGAATTTTTGTCCGACCCCTCACTTACGCCCTTCGATCCCTTCCTCTTCTCTCCCCCCACCCTCCAGTTGTGGATCGCAACGTGGGCAAGGCCAACCGGCTGCCGTCCGATCCGAGCGGGATCTACATCGTGATCACGAGTGCTGACGTGGACGTGTGGGAGTTCAGCCGCTGCAGCTACTGCGGGTGGCACGCACAGATGATGGACATGCGCACCGGGAGCCCTGTGGCATACGCATTCGTGGGGCACCACTCGCTGTGCTGCCAGTACAGCAAGTAAGTACCAGCAGGAAGGCTTCCTTGCGTACGCATTTGTGGGCCACCACTCGCTGTGCTGCCAGTACAGCAAGTAAGTATTGGCAGCGAGCAACAGAAACTGCAGAAGCTACTGCTGCAGCTACTGAGGGTGGCACACACAGATGATTGACATGCACACCGGCACCCCGATAGCGTATGTGTTTGTGGGCCACCACTCGCTGTGCTGACAGTACAGCAAGTAAGTACCAGCAGGAAGGCTTCCTTGCGTACGCATTTGTGGGCCACCACTCGCTGTGCTGCCAGTACAGCAAGTAAGTACCAGCAGGAAGGCTTCTTTGCATACGCATTCGTGGGCCACCACTCTAGGGCTGTCCGTTCATAGCAGCTCCTCCCCCACCAGCCAGCCAGCCAATGACAGCATGGTGAGCACCATCGCGCACGAGACCACAGAGGCTGCTGCTGACCACTCCAGCCTCCTTAACCCTCGCATTTCCCTGCCACCCCCTGTCCCTCAAATCCCACCCCATCTCACTTGCAGCTCCTCCCCCAACGGGCTCCCAGCCATAGACAGCATGGTGAGCAGAGCACCATCGCCCACGAGATCACCGAGGCTGCTGACCGACTAAACCCTCTGCCCGCTCCCATGTTCCACTCCCATCCCCCGCCCACCCTGGCAGCTCCTCCCCCAACGGCCTGCCAGCCATAGACAGCATGGTGAGCACCATCGCGCACGAGATCACAGAGGCCACCACCGAGTACACTGGGCTCTCCCCACGACCACCACTGAACCTGTACCCATATCCTTCCCCGTTCCCCATCCCCATCCCCACTTGCAGCTCCTCCCCCAACGGGCTACCAGCCATAGACAGCATGGTGAGCACCATCGCCCACGAGATCACCGAGGCCACCACCGATCCGGACATTTCCTCGGGCTGGTTCGACGCTTCCGGGCAGGAGAACTCCGACAAGTGCGGCTCCTTCTACGGGCAGCCGGAAGAAATAAAACGCGCCCGCAGCCCCAGCAGCAGTGGCAGTGGCGGCAGCAGCAGCGGTAGCACCACCACCAGCAGCAGCCGACACAGGGGGAACGCGTTTTTCAAATCCAACTTCGCAGCCCCTCAGCAGAACGATGAGTATGAATACAACATGGTTGGTAACCATGGCATGCGTTACATGGTGGAGGGCAACTGGGATCTACTCACAGGCACGTGCCAGATCCAAGGAAAGCCTCACGACCCTAGGTCTACCGAACCTGAACGGCTGGCTCGGAACCAGGGCTTGGCTCCGAACCAGGATTTGGTTGGAGTTTCGACAGAAGGCGGATGGAGAGCGTCGTTTTTAAGTGATTTCGCCACTACAAGTTCTGCCGCCCCTAGTTCTGCTGCTCCAGGCTCGGAATATATTGTCATTTCTCCTGACTATGGCGACAGCATCGGATCCCTTCCCCCTCCCAGCTCTGCCGCCCCAAGCTCTGCCGCTCCAAGCTCTGCCGCTCCAAGCTCTGCCGCCCCAAGCTCTGCCGCCCCAAGCTCTGCCGCTCCAAGCTCCGCTGCCCCAAGCTCTGCCGCCCCGAGCTCTGCTGCCCCAAGCTCCGCTGCCCCTAGTTCGGAGTATGGCCCAGGTTCGGAATATGCCCCGGGCTCGGAGTATGGCCCAGGTTCGGAGTACGCCCCAGGTTCGGAGTATGTGTACTACCCACCTGGATCTGAAGGCGAGATTGGCTCATTGGCTTCTCCCAGCTACGCCGCCCCTAGTTCTGCCGCCCCTAGTTCTGCCGCCCCTAGTTCTGCCGCCCCTAGTATCGCCGCCCCTAGTTCTGCCGCCCCTAGTTCCGCCGCCCCTAGTTCCGCTGCCCCTAGTTCCGCCGCCCCTAGTTCCGCCGCCCCTAGTTCCGCCGCCCCTAGTTTTGCCGCCCCTAGTTCTGCCGCCCCTAGTTCCGCAGCGCCTAGTTTCGCCGCTCCTAGTTTCGCCGCCCCAAGTTCCGCCGCCCCAAGTTCCGCCGCCCCAAGTTCCGCCGCCCCAAGTTCCGCAGCCCCTAGTTCCGCCCCCCCTAGTTCTGCCGCACCTAGTTCTGCTGCTCCAAGCTCTTCCCCTCCCAGCAATGCTGCCCCCAGCTCTGCTGCCCCGAGCTCTGCTGCCCCCAGCTCTGCTGCCCCCAGCTCCGCTGCCCCCAGTTCAAACAGGGCACCTGGCTCCGCAAATGCACCAGGCTCGGAAGTTGCACCGGGTTCAGATGCTGCACCTGGCTCGGAAACAGCGCAAGGTTCGGGAAGGGCTCCTGGTTCAGAAGCAGCTCCTGGGTCGCAGGTTGCTCCAGGTTCGAACGGTGCCCCGGGATCAACTAATGCACCAGCCTCAGAAAATGCTCCAGGCTCTGAAAATGCTCCAGGCTCAGAAAATGCTCCATGGTCTGAAAATGCTCCAGGCTCGGAAGAGGCTCCAGGCTCGGAATATGCTCCAGGCTCAGAAGATGCTCCAGGCTCGGAGAATGCTCCAGGTTCAGAAAATGCTCCAGGCTCAGAAGAAGCTCCGGGTTCAGAGAATGCTCCAGGCTCGGAAGAGTCTCCAGGCTCGAAAGGATCTCCAGGTTCAGAGAATGCTCCAAGCTCAGAAGATGCTCCAGGTTCAGAAGATGCCCCAGGCTCGGAGGAAGCTCCAGGTTCAGAAAATGCTCCAGGCTCGGAAGATGCTCCAGGTTCGGAGTATGCTCCAGGCTCGGAATATGCTCCAGGTTCGGAATACGCTCCAGGATCAGAAGATGCGCCAGATGCTCCAGGGTCAGAAGGTGCTCCAGGTTCAGAAGCTGCTCCAGGCTCGGAATATGCTCCTGCTCCAGGCTCGGAATATGTTCCTGCTCCAGGCTCGGATTATGTTCCTGCTCCTGGCTCGGAGTATGCACCTGGCTCGGAGTATGCTCCTGGCTCGGAGTATGTTACACCTATTGAAGACTTCCCACCTTATTTAGAGCCTGCACCCAGCTCCGAGGATGCACCTGGTTCAGAATATTATCCAGGAGGATCAGGTTCAGGAAGCTACGTACCTGGCTTTGGAGATTCTTCAGGTGGTTTGGAATTAGGGAGCAACGCACCTGGATTCGGAGATTCTTCAGGTGGATTAGACTCAGGGAGTAACGCACCTGGGTTCGGAGATTATTCGGATGGATCAGATTCAGGTAGTTACGCACCTGAATTTGGAGATTTCGCGAGTGGATTAGATGCAGGGAGCAATGCACCTGCATTCAGAGACTATTCAGGTAATCTGGATTCAGGCAGCAGCGCACCAGAATTTGGAGATTATTCAGGTGGATTGGATTTAGATAGCTACGCGCCTGGAGTGGGAGATTATGCGGGTGAGAGTCTTTGAAATCCAGGCAGCCGAGACCTGATGAGCTTTCGGAACCACTCTTTCATTAGTAAGAGAATAAGAACCGATTCACGTCATTGCACTCGAGAGCTTCCTGCATTTCAGCTCGTATATCACATGCGGTGTTGTTCTGACATGGCTATGGATGGTGGCATATGGTTCTGATACAGAATCTGCTCACAGCGTTCCTAGCATAGTGACAGTTGTGGAAAATACGGTGGGTGGGATGGGATCAGGGCTGATTTTATCAGACTAAAATGGTCTGATTGTCTGATCTGACAGACTATTTTTCAATGGTTCCTGATTTTCCAGACTTGGTGATTTTCCAATAATGAGCACCTCAGAGTTGTGGTTTTCCGAATACTGAGAATTTCAGAGTATTGCCTATGCCAATAATGATCCCTCAGACTAAGTAGCGTACGGATCCTGGAAACCGGATATGTACGTACTAGGAAGCTTCCGCAACGTCACATGTTGCCGTGCCATCATGACAATCTCCTTGCTGTCACATGCGAAATCTGAACTTGGCAAATTTGCCACCCCTTGACCGACTCGGTGCCCCCTGTGCCACGCTGCACGTGGCAACCGTGATATCTCTGCAACGCTGTGTCAGCGGGAAAGCTGCACCGTGCCATCACTACGCGCTCTGTCCTGCACGGTACAGCACTGCAGAGGTGACGGGCATGGCGGCTCGAGACCAACGGCAACAGCCAGCCACCCATCAATTGGTTTGAGGACCACGGGGTCCTTCTTCTTCATAGCTCCCTTCACCACGCTGACTATGTTTCCTCGGCTGGCTCTCCCAGCAGTGTTCCAGTTAGTGCTCGAGTGACTCCTCCCATGACGGACCAAGAACGCGACCGGCCCGATTCACCTGATGCTGACCACCCTACTACCAAGGAGGGTGTGGGTAGGTCGGGGCTAGACTGCCTACGCCCCGCAGCAACGGCGGTCATACACGATACTGTTCCTGCCACCACGCCTGCCTCCCCTACGCCAACTCCAATAGTCTTAGCGCCCGCCATAGCGTCGTCTAGTAAGGGCCCCATCCCACTCACCGTGCGCACTGCATCTACCGTTCGGTACAGCGTGCCGTCAGTCACCAAATCAGTTGCGCAGAAGCGTAGTACCCAGAAATGGGTTCAGAGCACGATGGTTACTGGCGGTAGATTCCGCAAACCATCTCCACCCCCTTCAGCGCCGGCTGTGGCCACGCCCGACAAGCCACCTCCTCCTAAGTTGTCTAAGAAGGAGGAGATTGAGCAGAAGTGGCTTCTGGCTGAGGCGAATTACCACTCGAAGTGGCTTCCGTTTTTCCCATGGCTTCTGCTTGTGCGTGCCCAGGATGGGCATCCCTCGCTCAAGTGCTGCATCTGCCGTGCCTTTGGCAAGGAGACCACCAAGTATTCAGGCCCTGGCGACGGAGCGCGCGACTTACAAACGCAGACGATGCGGATACACGAGCACTCCAACGTCCACAAAGAGGCAGTGGAGCGGCAGTTGGAGATCGAAGAGTCGCTGGACGGCAAGCAGAAGAAGATCGACGATTTCACAACGAGGGACGTGGAAGGGCGGAGGGTGATTCGCCTTCTGCGTGCCACTGAGTTCATCTGTAAGGTCGATGCTCCAATCTCGATGTTCGCTCGCCTCCTACGTTTCATGTCTGAGCAGGACACGCCGGACATTCCAAGGCAGGCGTACGGCGTGTATCTTACTCGGTGAGTACCGCGTGTGCCTTCGAGTTAATCAAGTACTCACTACTTCAAATACTAACGCATTTATGTGGCACTGTTTCCATGCAGTTACGGGTTCCAAGAGATGGTGCACTGCCTTTCGTCTCTGCTTCTCTCAACTCAGCTGCGACACATCCAGAGCTCTCCGTTTTTGGGCATCAGCTGCGACGAGAGCACGGATCGCTCGCGAGGGAAACACCTCATCATCTACTTAACGTTCCTTCGCTTCAACCGGCCCGTTACTGAGTTCTTTGCACACCTACCTGTTGAGAAGGGTGACGCGGCGTCCCTGCTCTCAGTCATCATGAGTCATCTGCAGACTGTCGGAGTGGACATCAACCGCATCTGCGCTATCAGCACCGACGGTGCATCGGTGATGGTTGGGTGTGACAACGGCCTGGTCCCTCGTCTACGGGAGTACATCCCTCACCTGATCTCCTCACATTGTATCGCGCACAGGTTAGTTGGTTCCACGGTTATCTATATTGCCCATGAACATGTACCTTGTACGCTTTACTAACCGATTACCTCTTTTGAATGTGCTTGTGCAGGGAGGCGTTAGCAGTTAAGGACGCTGCCCTTGCATGCCCAGATCTGGACATGATTGACAGAGTGATTCGGGCTGTGGCATCTCTACTGACGAACTCCAGCAACGTCAGCCAGCGCTTTCAGTACCTGCAGCGCACGATTCACAAAACCAACCTTGAAGTTCAAGGCATCCACGCGGTCAGGTGGCTATCGCGCGGTGTGGCTGTCCGTCGTTTCTGCAAGGTCCTCGGTGCATCGATCGTGCTCTTGCATGAGAGCAAGCACAAGTTGTACGAGACCGTCACCTCGTATAAGTTTCAGTTCTGCCTTTTCTTTCTTGCAGATGTGCTTGGCATCATGAACGAGCTCAACGTGAAGTTTCAGAAGCGTGAGGTAAGGTTGACCGCATTGTTCCCTTGTATCCTAAACCACCTCTGTTCTAAACCGTTACTAACATGTCTTGCACACCTCCCCATCCGAATCAGGTCGACGTGACCGAGATCGCCAAGGACATTGACGAGGCCACCGGGGACTTGCGCAGGCGCTACCTGGAGTGCGAGGACTTGTTGGGCGGCGGAGAAAGCCCGGCACTGTCTGAGTTCCTGACATTGCACGGGAAGGTTCCGAAGAAGAAGGTGAAGGTGCGCGGAGTTGACAGCGAAGGTGAAGCAGTGACGCACAAGTACAAGCTTCATGAGAGGAAGATTAAGGGGCACGCTTACGGCAGCACGTACACGGAGTGCGCGAAGCTGTGCACGAAATTCGCTCAAGAGTGTGTGAACCGGCTGAACTTCCGCCTTGCTGATCTACGCAAGCTAGCACCAACGAAGCTCTTTCGAGCAGCCAAGTGGCCCAAGCCTCGGCAGCAGCGCGACCGCAAGACGCGAGAGTACCTACACGGATGCGCTGCTATCTTCGACAACAAGCTCCCTGGCTTCGACCTGCGAGCAGCCGAGATGGAGCTTGGCTCGTGGGCTCCAATCATGGCGGCGCACCACGAGGATGAGGGGTTTTTTCAAGGGCTGAAGAATTTCATGGGTGTAGCTGAGTCCGCCAGGTATGTAATACGATGTGGCGGGGCTAGCTGTGTTTCTCTCACGCAATTGTGACATTCTGCTAACCGGTATGTTAATGCTCGTGTGTGATATTTTCAGGCGCTGGCCCAACATCATGCGGCTGTGGCAAGCCGCTGCCGTGATGCCGCTGTCAACCGTTGAATGCGAGCGTGGATTCTCACGCCAGAACGTCATCAAGACCTGGGTGAGAGGCTCTTTAGGCAACGCGCGCCTGGCGGAGCTGATGACGATTTCCCTACTTGACTACGAGATCGACTGGAACGCGGCCCTCGCCAAATGGCGTGAGGAGAAGCCAAGGCGCCCTGCCAAGACTCCAACCTTCGCTGCAGCAGAGAGGAAGCGCAAGGGGAAGGAGCTGGCGGACGACCAGGAACGTGAGAGGGTTGTGCGCGGGCTGGAGTGGGATCGTGATGAGTCGGATGCGGACGACGATGAGGAGGAGGCCTATGAGGAGGAGGAGGACCAGGAGCTGGACGACGACCCTTTCCGCGAGGAGGATGAGGAGGAGGAGGATGTGGAGGAGATAGGCATGGATCAGCCTGAGTGAGACCTAAGATTATTTGTAGCTGTAGGTAGGTAGGTAGGTGATTGCTGTAGGTAGGTGATAGCTGTAGGTAGGAGGAAGGAAGGATGCATCTGATCTGAGACTCAATGGATGATTGCCATGCCAGGACATTTTAACTTAGTTTTATTTCAGTCTGATTTTAGAATTTGAATAATGACCACCTCAGACTAAACCCTGAACCAATCCTGTGAAATCAGACTCAAGGAAGTTGGGGAAAATGTGCTTCAGACTAGACTGGAATTTTTTTTACCTGCTCTCAGAGTAGGTTTTTTTGAAACGTCAGCTCTGGATGGGATGTGAACAAGGAATCAGGTGAGTAACAGGCTCTCTTCCCTAGACCCTACCCAACCGTTCTTAAATGTTGGGAAAACACAGTGATGCGAAGCATTTTCCCAAACCTTTGTGAATCAAAGCTGGAAGTGTCATGTCTATGTTCAAGGGGAAATCTAGAGTTACGGAAGTCCAGAATAATTAATCATTTTTTATAAGTCACCAAGAGTTGAATGTTTAAGGTGTTCATATTGGCCTCACACGACCTCGAAGTGAGTACAATAATGGAACCAGCCAGTGTCCTTGGACGTGCGCGCTTCGTGAAGTGCAGCTTCCTTCCCATCAGATTTTCGTGACCACGAGTTACTTTTTCCTTCACTTTCGTGTTCGCGACATTCACCCCAAACCACCAAATGGCGAAATCTTGCGACAAGTACAGCACACCCCTACCCGAATACCGTAGTTGGTGAGGGGGGGGGCAGCAGCATTTTCCCCCATCCCCAACAAAAATGGCGCGAAAACGGGCTGTGATCTGTGGAAATGGCACCGCCCAGGGCTCCTCCAACCAACATCGTGTATTCGTAGGTCAAGCTCTTGAGAGCAAGAGAGAGGAGAGGGGGAAGTGAAGTGAGAGCACTGAGCAGAGGCAAAAGCATGTCACACCTGCTGTGCTTGCGCGAATTGGAGTTAGGTTGAATCGAGTTGAGTCTCGAAGTTAGGTAGAGTTTTAGCCTGGTGTCCAGGACTACGGCCATAGAGTTGAGCAGCGCCCAGCTACTTCTGAAAGAGCATTTCCCGGACTCTTTGTTCACACGCATTGTTATCCACGCACGAATGCTAGCCCAATGCGCATTTGCGACAATGGTAACATGACTAGCATTATCGCAACGTCTAACAGTCAGTCTAGCTTTTTGCTTAACTCACCATTTCGCATATTTTTTAATCGCGACTAACAGAAATGGCCCACAGGTTTGGCTCAAGTCGTTTAGAGAGGCGAAACAGTATCGCGGACGACTCGGACCCATGCGCGGGAGACGGCAACGGGCAGGGGCGCTACGGCCAGGGGGAAGTCGGCTGGTGCGGCTCGCTCTTTTCGCGCGCACCCAAGCGCGGCGGACCCGCGGGCCGCTTGCGCGGGTTCACATGGGACCCGTGGCGGAATGATTCGGGGAGCGGCGGTGGCGGCGGCGGCGGAAGTGGCTGGGGATGGGGAAGCGGAGGCGATGGCAGCATGTCACCGCGCTCTCCGCGCACTCCCCGCACTCCGCGCTCCCCGCGAGCGCCGATAACGCCTCGCCGACGCCGGCACGATGGCAGTTATCGACCCGGCACGCCGTCCCACCGTCCTGGCTCTCCTTATAAGAACGCACAGCCTTATTTCCTCGGCGGGCAGCCCCTCGCCTCCGTGGCCGCTTCTGGGTCGTACGATCCTGCTAACGGGGGATCGCTTCCCGACGGAAACAGCGGCGGGTTTTGGGGAGGCGGTCCGGCGCTGAGCGCGTCCCGGCGAGCGGGGCGGCAGCAGGGAGGCGGCAGAGACGGCGGCAAGGGCGGGGCAGGGGGTTTCCTGGTGATGAGCGATTGGCTGACGTGTTCGTTACAGTCCCTGCTACAATCGCGTATGGAGCAGCTGCATGCGTCGGAGCAGGTGAGCCGGCGGCAGCTGATGGCGGAAACTGCGGAGATGGTTCTCAATGTGCTCGACGCGCGTTCCTCAGACGACGCGCTCGCGCACCGCTCCGAAGTCTCCGCGCTGCGGCGCCTCCAACGGGAGTCGTTCAGCGACCTATTGCACCTTCGCGACAGGCTCACGCGGCTCGAGCTCCTCGCGGACGAGTTCTCCCTCGGCCAGC